TTTAATGCCTCTTGAGGCTTATCATTTAAAAAAATGCAAAAGTCCAAAATATCGAACAACTATATTTACCTTCATTTTCTACAATCCATTAACTTTTCAGCAATGATAAGAATAGTGTGACCTGGAATTTGTCATATATATTGGATCATCCTTTGAAATTATTCTAGAGTCACAGGAACAGCGATCTCCATAATGCTAAAAATATCCTTTCCAATGTTGGCTTCACCAACGCATCGAAACATGAAAACCGGTTCTGATAATTGGAAACAAGTAACTGAATATCTACCATCAAACGATAGATGACGGTTGCTCTAATGTTCAAGCAATAAAAGATGGAGTAAAGCTTACTTGAATATTCTTCAAACGGCATCGTTGGGGTCTTTTGCGTCGAGTTGATATTTCAGAGATTGACATGGAAATTATGGTCTTAAAAAATTGTAGATAGTGGGAGAGGGTATTCAAAAAAATATCAATAGGACACGTTCCAAAGAACTGGTAGATATCAGGAAGAAGGAGAAAAGAATGAAAGATAAAATGATCAAAGGGAAAAAAAACATTGAAGAAAAAAAGAGAATTCTAAAATATAAAAAATGAATGAAAGCAGAAAGAAATATCGAAAAATCAAGAAAGGAAAATAGTGAAAGAAAGAAAAGCAATAAGACTGATAAATACCCCAAAAGAAAGAAAGAAAGAAAGAACGGAAGGAAGGAAGGAAGGAAGGAAGGAAGGAAGGAAGGATTAAGGAAGGAAGGAAGGAAGGAAGGAAGGAAGGAAGGAAGGAAGGAAGGAAGGAAGGATTAACGACTCCTGGCAGTGCCTTCAAAATAATGGACTATTCCGTGTTGGTATCAGTTAGAAGCAAGGAAGGATGGATGGAAGGAAGGAAGGAAGGAAGGAAGGAAGGAAGGAAGGAAGGAAGGAAGGAAAATCGACAAGAAAGAAAGATGGATGAACAGGCGAAAAGAAAGAGGAGTACATGAAAGAAAGAAAGAAAGAAAGAAAGAAAGAAAGAAAGATTGAAAGAAAGAAAGAAAGAAAGAAAGAAAGAAAGAAAGAAAGAAAGAAAGAAAGAAAGGCAGAGGAAGCGGGGGAAAGAAAGAAAGAAAGAAATAAAGAAAGAAAGAAAGAAAGAAAGAAAGAAAGAAAGAAAGAAAAGCAAAGGAAGCGGGTGAAAGAAAGAAAGACAGAAAGAAAGAAAAAAGAAAAAAGGAAGGAAGGAAAATCGACAAGAAAGAAAGATGGATAAAAAGGCGGAAAGAAAGAGGAGTAGATGAAAGAAAGAAAGAAAGAAAGAAAGAAAGGGAAAAGGAAGTGGGTGAAAGAAAGAAAGAAAGGAAGGAAGGAAGGAAGGAAGGAAGGAAGGAAGGAAGGAAGGAAGGAAAATCGACAAAAAAGAAAGAAATATGGATGAACAGGCGGAAAGAAAGAGTAGTAGATGAAAAAAAGAAAGATATAAGACTAGAGAGTGAGAAAGACTTGAATAAGTCTCCTCTAGAATGTAAGAAAGAAAGAGAACAATATAAAGAAAGCGGAAAGAAAGAGGGGTAGATGAAAGAAAGAAATAAAGAAAGAAACAAAGAAGATTAGAGTAAGAGAAAACGTTGAAGTAAGAGAGGGAATACTAGAATTTAAGAAAGAAAGAAAGAAAGAAAGAAGGAAAGAAAGAAAGAAAGAAGGAAAGAAAGAAAGAAAAAAATTGACAAGAAAGAAGGAAAGACAGATGAACAGTCGAAAAGAAAGAAAGAAAGAAATAAGACTAGAGAGTGAGAAAGACTTGAATAAGCGTCCTCTAGAATGTAAGAAAGAAAGAGAACAATATAAAGAAAGAAAGAAAGAAAGAAAGAAAGAAAGAAAGAAAGAAAGGAACAGGCGGAAAGAAAGGGGAATAGATGATAGAAATAATGGCAAGAAGGAAAAAACTGAAGTAAAGAAAACGGATTTTAAAATTTAAGAAAGGATGAAAGAAAGAGAAATGAATATGCAAAAAGAAAGAAAGAAAGAAAGAAAGAAAGAAAGAAAGAAAGAAAGAAAGAAAGAAAAAGAAAACATGAGAGGGAGAAAAACTTGAAGTAAAATGTGACCTCTGGAATGTAAGAAAGGAAGAAAAAGAAAAATATCCTAATAGAAAGAAAGAAAGAAAAGAAAGAAAGATGAACAGCCGGTAAGTAAGGGGGGGCTGAATGAAAGAAAGAAAGAAAGAAAGAAAGAAAGAAAGAAAGAAAAAAGAAAGAAAGAGAGAGAAAGAAAGAAAGTAAGAAAGAATGTAAAGAAATGAATAGATCGAAAGAAAAAATGATGGCAAAAAAGCAAGAAAGAAAGAAAAATGAACGACTAAATATAACAAGAAAGAAAGAAAGAAAAAAGAAAGAAGAAAGGAAAGAAATTTAAAAGAAAGAAAGAATTAAACAAAAGACATTTAAAAGAAAGAAATGATCAAAAAGAAAGAAAGAAAGAAATTTAAAAAGAAAGAAAGAAAGAAAGAAGGAAAGTGTTGTGTACGATACACCTAATTTACATAAGTGGAGTACCGACCATATAAATATGGGTTGGTACCGGAAGACGGGGAAGATAGTAGGAAGTATTAGGAGATCGAATCCAGAGACTCTGCCCGACTGCGATTAAGTCAACCCATTCTGCAGGAACAGTCTTCCCAAGAATATACCAAAACTAACTGTAAATATTGTGTACCTTTTCCTTTGTTCAATACATTTTGTTTACGTACATTTTGTGTTGTATTATTATTATTCCATGCTTATCCAAGTTTCAACAGAAAGAAAGAAAGAAAAATGATCGCAGTGGAAGAAAAATTGAAGAAGAAATATGACTACAATATAAAAGAAAGAAAGAAAGAAAAGAGAAAGAAAGAAAGAAAGAAAGAAGACAAGAATGAAATTTAAAAGAAAGTAATAATCAAAAAGAAAGAAAGAAATTTAAAAGAAAGAAAGAAAGAAAGAAAGAAAGAATGATATACTGGAGGATCAACAAATAAAAAATGACTAAAGAAGGAAATAATGATCAGAAGGATACAAAATCTAAAAAAAAGTAAAGAAATCTTTTCTGACGTGAAGAAAGAAGGGAAGAAAATTTGCGTGTGAAAGTATAAATCAGAGTTCAAGAAAAGACAGAATGGTTATAAGAAAAGCAGAATTATGGGCAGACTAATATCAAATAAAGAATGTTAATATGATAACAAGAACTGTGAAAGATATACAGAAGAAAAAAAATACAGAAAGAAAAATATAACAGAGAAAGCGACCGAGATGAAAGGAGCGATAATCATTAAAAGAAAAAAATGAAAAATGAAATGGAGTGAGGATGAAAGAAAAGAAAATGATAAGTAAACCATAACGCCAGATGAAAGAATGAAATCAAAAAGACATTAAGAAAGCAAGAATGAAAGAAAGGGAAAACAATAGACAAAGAAATTCTAAAGAATGAAAGAAGGTAAAAAAAAAAGAAAAGTATGATCTGAGGGAATGAAAAAAAATTGCGGTATAAATGCGGAATGGTGTAAATGAAGAAAATCAAAGAAATCCAAATGATAGGAAGAAATCAAATATATAAAGAAAAAAGAAAAATGAACGAATAATCAGAAGATAATATGAAAAGAAAGCGAGAAGGAAATGTAGGATGAAAAAGATAAAAGTAAGCAATATATGAAAGAAAAAAAAGAAAGATAAAAGAAGAAAAAATAGACAATAAAGAAGTAAAAAAAAATCTAGAGGGGAAAAAATTGAAGTAAGCAAGTGGTCTCTAGAAAGAAAGAAAGAAAGAAAGACTAGAGGGAAAGAAAAATTGAAGTAAAGAAAGAGGACTCTAGATTTCAAGAAAAAATTAAAGAATGGGATATTAATAAGAAAGAAAGAAAGAAAGAAAGAAAGAAAGAAAGAAAGAAAAGGCAGACAAGAAACAATGAAGTTATAATGAAGGTAGAAGGAGTGAAAGAAAGAAAGAAAGAAAGAAAGAAAAGGCAGACAAGAAACAATGAAGTTATAATGAAGGTAGAAGGAGTGAAAGAAAGAAAGAAAGAAAGAAAGAAATGGCAGACAATAAACAATGAAGTTATAATGAAAGTAGAAGGAGTGAAAGAAAGAAAGAAAGAAAGAAAGAAAGAAAGAAAGAAAGAAAGAAAAAGCAGACAAGAAACAATGAAGTTATAATGAAAGTAGAAGGAGTGAAAGAAAGAAAGAAAGAAAGAAAGAAAAGGCAGACAAGAAACAATGAAGTTTTAATGAAGGTAGAAGGAGTGAAAGAATGACGAACAAGAAAGAAAGAAAGAAAGAAAGAAAGAAATACTCGAGGGAAAGAAAAATTGAAGTAAAGAAAGAGGACTCTAGATTTTAAGAAAAAAACGAAAGAATGGGATATTAATATGAAAGAAAGAAAGAAAGAAAGAATGAATGAATGAATGAAAGAAAGAAAGAAAGAAAGAAAGAAAGAAATAGATTAACTAAGAGAAAGCTTTGGAAAAGCAAAGAAAGAAAGAAAGAAAGAAAGAAAGAAAGAAAGAAAGAAAGAACTCTAGAATTTAAGAATGAATGAAAGAAAGAGAAATAAATAAGCAAAAAGAAAGTAGGAATGAAACAAAAAAAGAAAGAAAGAAAGAAAGAAAGAAAGAAAGGAAGGAAGGAAGGAAGAGAAAAATTTCCCACAAGAAAAGAAAGAAAAACAGATGAACAGGCGGAAAGAAAGGGACTAGATAAAATAAAAGAAAAGAAAAGAAAAGAAAAGAAAGAAAGAAAGAAAGAAAGAAGGACTCTAGAATTTAAGAAAGAACGAAAGAAAGAGAAATAAATATGCAAAGAGAAAGCATGAAGGAAACAAAAAAGAAACAAACAAAAAAAAAGAAGAAAGAATATAAGGAAATGATCACAGCGAAAGAAAAATTGAAAAAAATGTGTTCTCTGGAATGTCAGAAAAAAGTAAAAAAACATAGGGTACTGTCGTAAATAAGAAAAACTAAAGAAAGCAAAAAGAAAGAATGAAATAAATAAATGAAGAAAAATGAACGAGTAGCCAGAAAAGAATATGAAAAGAAAGCAAGAAACAGAGTCAGAAATAATGAAAAGTAAAGAATGTATGAAAGAATAAGAGAAAGAAAGAAAAATCGACTACAAAGAAAGAAAGATGAACCAGACGGAAGAAAGTGGACAAGAAGAAAGAAAGGAAGAAGATAAGAGGGATAGAAAAACTGAAGAAAGAAAGAGAAATAAATATAAAAAGAAAGAAAAAAAAGAAAGGAAATGATCACAAGGAAAGAAGACTCTAGAATATAACAAAGAAAGAATTAAATAATAGTCCGAAAAAATAAAGAAAATAAATAATAGACAGTAAATGATAAAAGCTGAAAAGACGGAAACACACCCGAAAAGATTACAAAGGGACATGTCAATGGAAAAGAGACAGAACTATAAGGAAGAAATGAAGCAATATGGCGCCGATCAAATGGGGGCTCAGATCTTAACTTCTGCAAGACAAATAAAGGGAAAAAAAGTCCTTCAAAAATAACATAAAAGAAATCAGGTAATAGGAAAAAAAAGAAAGAGCGAAAGATGATTCAAAATAATATTGAGAAAAAACGAAAACGAAATCATTAACGTAAAAAAAGATAACAATCAAAACCGTCCCTTTCATTTTTTGGAGCGGAAGAGCCAAATCTTTACGCATGCGTAGATGCAACCTTCCGCCATATTTCTTCCGCTTACTCCTCGTATTTTTTCTTCCTTTTTCTTTTTATCTTTTCACACAAACCAAATCAAAATACAAAGGAATCGGCAACATGAATCCGGGATATCAAAGAAAACACTGAGGGAGTTATAATTCTTTTTTTCTTTCTATATTATTGTTAATGCGTTCCCGCTTCATGAAGACATTTTCTTTTTCAAGCGTCTTGAGAAAACGCCTCTCGTCTGTGTAATGAATAAAACACTATTATCGAATTATTGAGTCAATTATATTCCTGCAAAGTGATATACACGTAGCTTTAATTATCTCTTTTTATACGCCTGTTATTTTCTTCATTTATATGTTTATTTGTATATTTATTTGTGTATTTATTTGTATATTGAATTCTTCATTTTAGATGTCTTCATCATTTACTTTTCTCTACGGATCCCCTTTTATCGATACAGCATTCGTTTTTTTTTTAACCGATATTCTGTTGATTACTTCTTATGTGTTGACATTATTACATGTCTAACAGTTCCCAGCGTGAACTATTTCCTCGATGTTAGTAAACTCTTAGAAGTATCCTTAAATTTGTACTCAAAGTTATAAATGCAGGGGGTCGACTACCTATTGTTATAGAATTCCAAAGCTAGAGCCAGAATGGTCAGCGATTGGCCGGAGTGCCTGGTGAGCGTGGTATTCTGACAGTGATAGCTTGCCTTTGTCGGGGTTTTGGGTATACGTCCAAAATGTTGCAAATTCAATCGAAGGTCGCAAGAATTCTGAAGCGTCGATATGCCTCCCACACTTAGGTTTAAGAGCCGGGCTAAAACCACTGGCGTAGGAACGCTGAGCCAACACGTGAAGTGTGTCATTCCATCCACAGCCTCTTAGAATCCAGACTGCTACGAATCTCTCCTAATAAAACATAAAAATAAATGGTTCTTTTCGTTGTTACTATTTTATGTAGCAGCGTGGTCACCCAGAGACGCCACAAACGTAATGCTATGTATATAGATTATGAAAACGAGTTTGATAAAGTAGGTAACAAAGAAATGTCGGAACTGCGCGTTAATCTTGAAATGTTTGGGAAGGATATTAGAATAATACAGAACAAATAGGGTTAGCAGCATTGGTAAAACAGATGCCAACATAAGTCATACAAAGAAGAATTTAAAAGGACCAGAGTTTTCCCAATACGTAACTAGAGCAAATACAAACCCAATATAGACATAGCAACAAGGTATGCTTCGGTTTGATTTGTTTTGTTTTACGGCATATCAACCTCAATTGGTTATTTAATGCCGACAATATTTTCCTGGAAATATTTTGTTTTGTCAAAAATCTATTTCTGGTAATTCCTAAAAATGTATAGCATTTAATATTATTTTAAAAAAATGTATTGCTGGTAATAGTTTTTTTTTTTCTGGAAAAAATTATTTCTCGTAATAATTTTTACAAAGTATTTCTGGTATTAAAAACTATTTTTACATTTTCATAATGCTTTTTTTACTTTTGGCGGGGGGGTAGCTATTTGCCCATAACTGGAACCCTAACAGGTACTACCACCCGGGTCAGGGTGGACCTGGGAACACCATCAATAAAGATGGTTCCAAGCTCCTTAAAATATCCTGATCAGAGGCCTTGCTGTTGGACGTAGTTTATCGTTTTACCCTGGACGCGGATGTAGTTTATCGTCATACCCAGGACGGGCAACAAGGTATGCCGCAAATTGGTTAGGGAAATTTTCAATATTGGCAATCGACAATTAAAAGTAGATAAGTCTACCTATCGTTTGGTTCACACTGCTAAATTACCTTTTGAAGAGGAGTAGATGTTTAGTCTTTGTCTTCAATCTAGGACTGTATTTCCAGTTCCTTCTAGAGCAATGAGTCCCATCGTGAGGCGATAACAAGTCAATAACTCCGCTAAGATTCATGTGGCTACTGGAAAAGAAAGAGAATGAAAAATAATTTAGAAGGAAACGGAAACCTAATACTAAACACGAAACAAGGGATGAACCAATACTCCTGTTCAAAAGACCGGAGAGGAGCTTGAACCGGGCAATAGGCGAACCTATCTACTGTTCTACAAGGACAGAGAAATAAATAACAAGGGTTTAACCAGAGACGTTAGAAGTATTCAAACTGCAGTCCTAAATAGCAAAAAGTTTTCCTCCTGTTCAAAATACCAGTGAGCCAAAAGATAGGCGGAATTATCTCCTTCTAACTGTCGACTGTTGGTATTGAAAATTACTCTTACCGTTTTGCGTCATAAATTGTGGCCCGTCCTGGGTATGACAATAAATAGCAAAAAAGTTCTCCTGTTCAAAAGACCAGTGAGCTGTGTGAACCAAAACGATAGGCGGAATTATCTCCTTCTAACTGTCGACTGCCGATATTGAAAATTACTCTTGCCGTTTTGCGTCATACCTTGTTGCCCGTCCTGGGTAATGACGATAAATAGCATTAAGTTTTCCTACTTTTCAAAAGACCAGTGAGCTATGTCAACCCAACGATAGGCAGAATTATCTGCTCCTAACTGTCGACTATCGATATTGAAAATTACTCTAACAGATTTGTGGTCTGTATTGTTGATAAGTCTATATTAGGCTTGTGTTTGCTTTAATTTACGTATTTAGACTTTAGGAATTTTGATCTGAAGTAGATATTACAACAGTAATTCCCAACCAATTTTGGACCATGCAACACTTTGGTTATTTCTAAAAATCTGGTGCCCCACCCACCTCTTAATATTTAATTCTTACATATTCAACATTTTACTGTAATTCACGTGTAGGAAGCTTAAAAGGCCATTAACTTGGTCTCTAAAGAAACCTTCAAAGACTATGGCGTCCATGAAAGAGAAAAAAAAAAAAAAACAAAACAAAAAGACAGTTATATATATATATATATATATATATATATATATATATATATATATATATATATATACTATAAAAATAAATCATATACAAATACACACACACACACACATATATATATTACTTTTTATTATCATCACGACTGGTAATAATAAAATTATTTTTTGTCTATTTATGGCAGTGATAAAGTTTTGTAACACTAAACATAACTTTTATATATATATATATATATATATATATATATATATATATATATATATATATATATATATGTTTCAAAAAAACATAATAGAGAACTAAAAAGTATAAATCTAAAATATTTGAATGAAAGGTTATTCTGTAATATACTTTGACCATTTTAATCATGAAATAATATTGCAAATGAAATTTGAGCTCAATAGAAAACAATTCCCTAATAATAACTCAAATTCGAATTGCCCCCTGATTCTGTTGATATAGTAAGCCAAAGGGTGCACATCCTACGCATATCCCAGCAAAATATTACCATGCCCCACCGGTTTTTGTACCCGAATGTCCAGTCCAGCTTGTCAGGCGAAGAGAACCAGAAGGACGAACTATGCTCTGCTACTTTTTACCAAAATATCCACTGCTAACCTGAACAACGCTTTCCTACTGTCTTCGAAATATTCACTGCTAACCTCTGGATTCTATACTCGAAGACGACCGTCATTATGAACAACAACGGACAGTTCCTCAGACCTGCCAGGTGAGAGACGACTAGATCCGAAATCAACGTTGATGACAACTTGCCACAGACAATACCAAACAGTACACTACACTCACCAAATACCAAGATGAAAACAAATCACCCAGCTGCCACTACAAACAAAACCGTATGGCCATAATCAGTGAAGCACTACACTACGCCGTTCAGACAGAACAGTAATACTACCACAGAGATTAAACCTCTGAAACAAAAACAAAAATATAAGGTCTTGATTTCAGTTATTCCATTGAAACACAGGCTGAAACGACGACTATAAATATTATCAAGAACTAGAAAACTAATCTTAAATAAAGAAAGGGAGATGCTGTATTACCTAATAATCTCCTTAATAGAACTCCCTGGAAGTAGGAGAAATTAGCTCCATTAGCCACTAAAGGTACTAACCCCCTTTTCTACTGTTGACCGTCAAGAATAAACACGTGTACAGCTTTTCTCGTCGTCTTGTCTCTTTGAACCCCGGAAAACAAAACAGTAACACTCAGGAAATTTCAAAACGAACATTTTATTTTATCTATGCACTAAAATGTTCCAGTTTTTCTGTCCAGGTTCATGGATAAACTCGTCTTTTTGTTATTAAAGAGCTGCTTGGTTACGGTTAGCCATGTTTCTACTGAATCCGTACTATCCAGCCCAAGGATTGATCTCACAATTACTGTATCTCAAAATTCACGAACCATATGCTTTAATCTTAGACTTTACAGTCAAACTAATTTCTTCATTTGTTTCAATTACGAAGTTTCTACTGTTGGGTAAACCGGATTAAAACTAAGAAATTAAATCCGGATTAATTAAATTCGAATTAAACCTACAAAAAGTCAGATTCGACGGTGTCTTCCTAGAAAATCTTGATTTAAATGCAGATTTTTAATGGTCAACTGTGAGGATTCATGTTTTTCTAGCTTTAGTTTTAACATCTTACGATAAAAATTATTTATTTTTAGACAAAAACGTCTGAAAATTTATCTATAATCCCTGGTGAAAATTTGGTCTGATTAGATTAAATCTTCGAAAAGTCAGATTCGACGGTGTCTACCAAGAACATCTTGATTTAAATGCAGATTTTATAGGGCAACAGTTGGGACTAATTCATTTTTCTCTAGCTTTAGTTTTAACATCTTATGAAAATTATATATTTGTAGACTAAAATATGGGAAAATTCATGCATAATCACTTGTGAAATTTTGGTTTGATTAGATTAAACTTACGAAAAGAGTGATTCTTAAGGCATTTGTGAATTATGGTAACCTTCACGGACTTTATTTATTGTACATTCAAGTACTTGTAAAATCTACATTATTTAGTACTGAGCTGGTTCATGCTGTAGGGTTACTAGCCTACGCTTTGAACGGCAAAGAGGCCGGCTGATTCTATCCACGTTTGCGAGGCTTTCCAAACTGTGGACTTCACACACGATTACATTCTCTTCAAGAGGAAAATGGTGAAGACGATGCCATATAGAAACAATCTGAGAATTCCGCAGAGACGAGAAAATGTGTCTTTTCGCCGGAAGAAGGCAACATAAGTGGTGGGCTAGGTGTATTATTTCTTCTTCTTCTTTTTCGCTCTTGACGTCGCTTGCGTTCTCGAGCGGTTTGAAAGTTGCATCTTCGATTCGGAGAAGCGGGAAAAGTTTACACGCTTAAAATCACCCCCTCCACCCGAAAGCTAAGGCCTGATCGTTCATTACGCTGGCGGACATCAGGTGCGTCGATATGAAAACAAAATACCAACGTTATTTTGCCGTTTCGCTGAGATTATCACAATTCTTCAACATGAAGGAGTAAAAAGAGTTAACGGTGATAAAGAAAAAAATTGTCGAAAGCGAAAGGGAGGCACTAGGGATGTTTTAGATTTTACAAGAAAAAAATTGAGAATGAAGTGGGTTTCTGTGGGGAAACAGTAGTTAACAGGGTAATGTAGTAAATTATTCCTGATGTAACAATAATCGTCGTACTAATCTAATGTCGTACTAATGTAATTTTAGGTCGGTTAGATAGATAGATATATATTTAGATAGATAGATAATGAACAGACCAAGATAGATAGATAGATAGATAGATAGATAGTGCCATAGGTCCTTACCTATAACTACAGTATGAACTCTTCCTAACACTATGTATACTACTCCTCTCAAGAGAGAGGTACGGATCGAGTCGAGCCGATAGTAGTTCACTCCAAACCAGACTGACAGTCATACTAACACCTTCCACATCTTGTATTATTATTTCGTGTAATATACCTTCGTTATTTCTACTCTTGTGTTCGTGTTGTTCTTACTTGGTCCTAACCTGGACCATAACACTATCTATCTATCTATCTATCTATCTATCTATCTATCTATCTATCTATCTATCTATCTATCTATCATGGGTCCTTACCTATAACTACACAATGCACTCTTCCTAAAACTATGTATACTACGCCTCTCAAGAGAGAGGGACGAATCGAGTCGAGCCGATAGTAGTTCACTCCAAACCAGACTGACAGACATACTAACACCTTCCACATCTTCGTTATTTCTACTCTTGTGTTCGTGTTGTTCTTCCTTGGTTCTAACCTGGACCATAACAGATAGATAGATAGATAGATAGATAGATAGATAGATAGATAGATAGATAGATAGATATGAATAGACTGAGATAGATATATAGCTATGAAGAGAAAAATAGATATACAGATAGATATGAACAGCTAGCTAACTAGCTAGCTAGATAGATATAAAGCTATTAAGGGAAAATATATGTATAGATATAAACAGCTAGCTAGCTAGCTAGATAGATATGAATAGATTGACATAGATATGTAGCTATGAAGAGAAAAATGATGAATAGATATATAGATAGATACGAACAAATAGCTAATTAGCTAGGTAGATATGAAAAGAAAATTAGATAGATATGAGCAGCGTCAAATAGTTATTAAGAGAAAATAGATAGATAGATAGATAGATAGATATTAGGTTGTGCAAAAATAATGACGTAATAATGTCGTTTTTTGACGTATTTTTTAACGTCAAAAAACGACATTATTACGTCATTATTTTTGCACCAACCTTATACATATAAAGAGAAAAAATAGATAGATATATAGATATGGCAGATAGCTAGATAGATAATGAGTTAGCTAGCTAGCTGGCTAGATAGATATGAATAGATTGATATATACACATATACATATAGTTATGAAGAGAAAAATAGGTATATACATAGATATGGACAGTAGATTGTGATAGATGTAAAGCTATGGATAGAAAAATAGATATATAGATAGATATGAACAGATAGATTGCTAACTAGATAGATAGATATGAATAGATTGAGATAGATATATAGCTATGAAGAGAAAAATAGATGTATATGAACAGATAGATAGATAGATAGATAGATAGATAGATAGATAGATAGAAGTAAGGAAGAATGATAGATAGATCCCCCCCTCTCATTTTGTCATCTTAGAATTTTGTACATATGTGTTAGGATCATTAAATTTCTATGACAGGGGGCGCGTTTTGTAGGTCTCTCTAGAGTGGATGTGGTATTATGGTGCATGGAAGATCGATTGGTGACGGACGAGTTCTTATGGTGAATGAGTGCTTACGGTCAAATCACGCTGAAAACACCGGTTCTCGTTCGATCACCGAAGTTAAGCATCGTAGAGCCAGGTCAGTACTTAGATGGGGGACCGCTTGGGAACACCTGGTACTGTAAGCCCCCAAAGTCCAACCCTTACCTCACAGTCGGTGGCCGGGGTGTAAACGGTAGTGTCAGAGCTATGCCGCCCGGAACTTCGTTCTTGGTAGGGCCACCCAAGGCGGACAGGTCTGACACACACGCCGGCTAACAAGGGCTCTGGTGAAAATCCAAGGAGCGTCTGCATCGGTAACTGGCGGCTTCTGGTCGTTCCTGTCTCTGCGTCTGTGGGAACTCCGAGGCAAGCAAGAACGTTATCCGAGTAGGCCTGGGTACCCTACTTCTGTAATTTATCCCAAGAATCTTCTTCTCATAACAAGAAGAAGCCGGCTCAGTCCACCAAGGGTGAATGCCGCATCAGTACAGTGAATGAGTAAATTGTAATGGGTCGTGAATCAAATTAGCTAGGTATAAGATAGTTAGTGAAGACCAGCCGTTTACCCCTCCTTTTTTTCGGCCTTGTGCCACAATTTTGTATTTTTACAAAATAAATCCCGGTAGACAGATCCATAGATTGCACTCAACGATTCGGAAGGCTATTTAACATAAGGCGTCTAAGTGCAAACAGAAAAGTCTTGACGAACCTGGTTCGAGATCTGCTTTATGCTGAGAGTTTTGATATTCTGGCTCATACAAAAGCCAAGATGCAGCTCTTGATGTATGCCTTTGAAACAGAGTTGGGACTAACATTCAGTCTAAAGAAGCCAGTTCTTCCAGCCGGCATTGGAGAACCAAAAATCTGTATATATGGTCAGAGCCTGAAATTGGTCGGGAAGTTTGTCGGATTTCAGCAGTACACTAAACATGGCTGGAGCCCTTAATGTCAAGGTATGCATGCGAATAAGTAAAGCGAGTGACGCGTTTGGAAAACTGGAGAATTGCATCTGGTGTCACCAAGGGATTCCTTTAGAGACAAAGATAAAAGTCTGTTATGCATGTGTATTCTCTATTCCTGTGAACCTTGGACCACAAACAGAAAGCACATAAAGCGTTTTGAATGTTTCCACCAACAACGTTTAAAGAGAATCCTTGGTGTTCGCTAGCAAATGTGCGTTAATGATAATGATCCCGGTGTCAAAGCATAGAATCGATCATTTTTCAGCGTCGATTAAGATGGATCGGGCATTTAGTCAGAATGGAGAACGAACGACTGCCCAAGAAACTACTCTATGACGAAATCGTTGGAGGTAAAGCGGCCGGCTCAGAAACCGAAAGTGAGGTCCAAGGATTGTTTGAAAACATCTTTTATGAAGTGTGATATTGATGTTCTGGCCTCCTGGGAGAGCAAGGCATTGGATCCGAGAAAGTGGAGTAGAGAGGTTCATGCAGGAAAGAATTTGTTTGAGAAAGAACATGTTGAAAAGCTGAAAAGAGATGTCTGGAAGGGGTACGGAAATGAAGCGAAAGACGAAATGGGTAATGAGATTGGTTTCAAATGCATTATATGTGACCGAGTTTATTGGCCCTAACTGGTCTGAAAAGTCACGAGGGAACGCATGAATGTGAACTTGGAACGGATTGCCCGTTACTTGATAATACAACGTCTAGAAAAGTGTACAAAAGTGCAGCAGGATTAAAAAGACATGTTAAACTACACGGCAACGACGATTCAGGAACTGTTGTCAGAGATGTCCATGTCTTCCACTCCTGAGCCAAAGAATGTATGTCTCTAGACACATGAGAGCAGCTCATCAATGTGCTCACCTATGGTTATTCAAGCAATGGCAGTGCTCGAACACGAGTTTGCAACCATCATGTATTTATAAGACTAATATTCATCTTTTCTGTGAAAATTGCTGCAACATTTGGTCTAGAACTCCTGCTATATGTTTAGAGATTCTTGATAAAATCAAAAGAATAATCTGCAATATTATTTGTCCTGACCTGGCATCTCGGTTTAAGTCCCTTTTCTACTGCCGTAACGTAGCTTCCTGTGCCGTTTTTTTAAATACTTTCATGATAATTGTTTTATTATCATATATATATATATATATATATATATATATATATATATATATATATTAAAATGAATCATTCATACAAAAAATTAGTAAGGTTAATGATATAAAATGGCGAAACTTTGGCAAACAAAATTTTAAAGGTGCATTAACCTACAAAACACTCGATGAATCTCATGATCCTTTTTTTTTTAAAATTATAAGCTGTATAAGGTCTTTCTTTAATACGCAAGTACTTTCGACTGTACATTCAGTCATCTTCAAGTATGGAAATTATATTGTTTTTGGTATCATTAACTTGTTTTTATATCATTAACTTTTCTAATCTACTTTTTGTATGAATGATTCATTGTAATATAAATTGAACTGCACCACATATATATATATATATATATATATATATATATATATCTCGAAAGAGATATATAGATATGAGCAGATTGAAATAGATGGATATGAAGAGAAAAATAGATAGCTATGAAGAAACAGATGTCGAGTATTTGATAGACTAACATATCCGTAGATATCAAAATACTGAGATAGATCGTTACATATCTGGAAATAAATAGTGATTTAGATAAATATATTGATATATGAATGGATAGGTATGGGCTGACTGAAAAAAAACACAAGTGGGGTGGTTGATAGATACATACATAGATATGGAAAACTGATATATATATATATATATATATATATATATATATATATATATATATATATATATATATAATTATAGATGGCTAGACTTGTTTCGAAAACCCTCGAATTTTTGATTTGCTAATAATCAAATCAATCTCGAGGCAAAAAGGTTTTTAAAAAAAGAAAGAGCTACAAACATGAACTTTTGTCGACAAAAAAATCGCACAGATGCAGGTCTGAAGCCCAAAGAAAAAAACCCCGATACGAGTAACAACTAACTAACAAAAGAGCTTAATACAACCGTAGAGCAGACCTAGATACACCTAGTGAGTCAGACAAACCTACCCAGGTTTCACCTAAACGGATCGTCAGGGAAAGTAAGTATATATATATACAGATAATTAGATGGTAATAGTAATCGTAATTTCTGTTTCCTAATCTGGATTAGTGATATAGTCGGTTGGAATTTATAAAATATGCTAAAACTATTTTTTCAGGAAAATAGCTTTGTCAAGCCCAATTTCTGGTATGTATGAAGGCTTCCTTCCCAATCTCATTTTTGAAATTATATGGAAAGTCAACATCTTGATTACGTCATTATTTCCAAAGATTGAATAGCGGCATTTTCCAGAATTTTTCGTTTATGTAAGTTGTGGTTGAATTTCTATACATAATTAATGCGTTTGATAAATTGTTGTGCATGAAATCCATTTTCTGTTCATAGATACGTTATTTTAATTTTCTGCAAGTTACCCCAATGTATTGTGAGGAGCAGGTCTGGCTGTTTACTTTATATTTATCTAGTTCAGAATTATTGTTGTTGTTGGCATATTTTTTTCTGATCATAACAATAATAGTTTTGGTTGCGTTTGTAATTATTATGTTGCTAAGATATGTTATATTATTATTGGATACCAGATGCTTGTGAGTTAGTATGAAGTGTTATTTGTCTGTTTTATCTAGTTTATTGCCATAGTTACTGTATATGACAATAAACTACATCCACGTCATGGGTATGGCGATAAACTGCATCCGCGTCCTGGGTATGACGATAAACTACATCCAAGAGCAAGGCCTCAGATAATGTTTTCGGAAAATAATGTTGTCAGCTGTACGTTTTTGAAAAAATTTTGTTGCCAGCTAAATGTTTTTGAAAAAAATAATGTTGCCAGCTATACGTTTTTGAAAAAAATAATGTTGCTAGCTATACGTTTTTGAAAAAAAATAATGTTACCAGCTATAAGTTTTTGAAAAAAATAATGTTGCCAGCTATACGTTTTTGAAAAATAATGTTGCCAGCTATACGTTTTTGGAAAAATAATGTTGCTAGCTATACGTTTTGGAAAAATAATGTTGCCAGCTATGCGGTTTTGAAAAAAAATAATGTTGCCAGATATACGTATTTGAAAAAAATAATGTTGCCAGCTATATTTTTTTGGAAAATAATGTTGCCAGATATAAGTTTTTAAAAAAAATAATGTTGCCAGCTATCCGGTTTTCAAAAAATAATGTTGCCAGCTATACGTTTTTGAAAAATAATGTTGCCAGCTATACGTTTTTGGAAAAATAATGTTGCCAGCTATACGTTTTTGAAAAAAAATAATGTTGCTAGCTATACGTTTTTGAAAAAAATAATGTTACCAGCTATAAGTTTTTGAAAAAAATAATGTTGCCAGCTATACGGTTTTGAAAAATAATGTTGCCAGCTATACGTTTTTGGAAAAATAATGTTGCCAGCTATACGTTTTTGGAAAAATAATGTTGCCAGCTATGCGGTTTTGAAAAAATAATGTTGCCAGATATACGTATTTGAAAAAAAATAATGTTGCCAGCTATATGTTTTTGGAAAAATAATGTTGCCAGATATAAGTTTTTAAAAAAAATAATGTTGCCAGCTATCCGGTTTTCAAAAAATAATGTTGCCAGCTATACGTTTTTGAAAAAATAATGTTGCCAGCTATACGTTTTTGAAAAAAATAATGTTGCTAGCTATACGTTTTTGAAAAAAAATAATGTTGCCAGCTATACGTTTTTGAAAAAAATAATGTTACCAGCTATGCGTTTTTGAAAAAAATAATGTTGCCAACTATACGTTTTTGGAAAAATAATGTTGCCAGCTATACGTTTTTGGAAAAAAAATAATGTTGCAAGCT